AAGAACATGAACTCTTAACGTTCTATTTCATTATTAGCCCTGTATTTAAAAAAAAAAAAAAAAAAAAAGAGAGAAAGATATTCAGCAACAGAGAAACAATTTAACATAATATAAACAGTTGTTCAAAATAAATAAATTGCACTTCACTGCTACTTAGTAATGCTTCTACTGAGGTAAGAGCAGAGATCAGATCTCAGTTTTCTATCTAGTTACAAAACTATGGCAGAAATGCCTGCTTAAGACTATGGTAAGAGTTTCAAGAGGTAAATCTTGGAATCAAAGAATTGTTTAGATTGGAAAAGACCTTTAAGATCATCAAGTCCAGTTGTTGCTCCATCACTGCCAAGCCAGCACTAACCCACGCCCCCAAGTGACACATTCAAAGGGGTTTAAATCCCTCCAGGGATGGTGATTCCACCACTGCCCTGGGCAGCCCGTTCTAGGGTTTGACAACCCTTTCAGTGAAACGTTTTTCCAAATTTCTGCTTATTTGTTTTTTAGAAGTGCAATTACACCTGAATTTTAAAAGTCTTATAGAAAATACTGGGTTCTGGGAATAGATTAGCTGTGCAAATTGGCCCAGAAAGAATGGTCCATGAACAGACAGTACACATTGTAATTAAATAAGTATGCACATTATGGTTGTGCAATTTTTAACTTATCATTCCTTTCATAATGTGTTCACAAAAACCAGCAATTGTTTTTGACATGAGGATGCTATGAAACACTACCCAGGGTCCTTTAAAGACAGTCAAAGATGTATCATTAACAAAACTATTGATTTAAATGAGCACAGGAACATTCTATTCATAATGTGTCCTGCAGTAGTGATAAATGCACTCACCTTCTCTTTCATTGATAAATATCATATGTATTAGAAACCCCAAAATATTCATGACCTTACTCCAAAGGCATTATTATCAATATGCACAAGAATATGCCACCTCATCAGTCCCATTTCCATGATAAGAAAATCATTAGTTTCTATTACTAAGAGACTTCCCCCAAGTGATCTCACATGAGCAGGTTGCAGCAGAGCAGAAAGGAGAAGAGCAGCTTATCGGTCTCAAACAGGGAGCGGCACACTTGGCAGTACAGATTGTAGGTGAAGTGGTCATTCAGGTACTGAAGTCGCTTCTTCAGTATTTTGGATTTATTGCTAAAAAGGAAAGAAGGGAGAAACTGAGACTTCAAACTGAAAAAGAGCCAATGAGTTAAGAAATTTCAGTCTATTTAGAGCTGCGCAGGATATTTTAGATTCACGTGCTCCACAAGGCACTTAGATGCCAATTTCCCCAAAATTTCAATTACAGTTCATGTCTCACAGCACTTTTAAAAGTCTCAAGCAAAATAATCAGCTGAAATTAATTTGCCACAGTTAAGTGGTAGCACTCAGTGTTCATAATGGAGCCCAGTTCAGAGCCAGAGGACATCCTTTCTATAAGTCTATTCTTTAAAATAATTAAATACAGCACATGCTTACAGTCCATGATGCACTTAAACAGTAACTAAAAAGAGCAATTACTTCATTAACAAATCATATTCTGCCTCAAAAGCCTGCACTTAAGGAGGGAAATAGTTTCCAAATGGAGAGACGAGATGAGAATGAAAACACCTCATTTCCCACCAGGAAGACTCCCTTTACCTGTCATGAATGGAGTGGATGAAGAGGTTGACAAACCAGCTGAGGGAGTACTGGTACATGGGGTCGATGTTGGCCAGGTCAGCGATGCTGAAGAACAGCACAGCCGAGTGCTGAGCCACGGGCCGATAGGCCTCGCGCGACTCCGCGATCTTCTGCTCCGTTTTCTCTGCGACCTGAACGTCGACAGCAGGGGACACAGAACTGTTTGTACAAAGATATTGCTACCTAACAACATTCCAAAAATAGTTCTGTGCAGCACTTCGTAACACCAGAGTAAGGGACTTTCGTGGTTGCAGAAGGTGCCACCAAGCAGGTGATGCCCGTGCTGAGTTGGCCCTACCACTGCCCGATCTATTTACCTGTCCTACAGGGGGCAATAACGAAAACAAAGGAGGCATAACAGTATCGGTGCATCAAAAGTATCAGTCTATCTGCAATATTCAAAAATATGACCAATTCTGAGATTACATTTGATAGTCATTAACAAGTATCAGTAAAACAAACATCAGCCTAAAGAAAGTACCAATATTTGATTTGTGTTAAATCTGTAGTCATTAAAAAATGTAAAGAAAAAAACCTTTTTCCTCTCACTGATATTATTTAGCTCTCACTGACTTCAGCTGGTATTTTTTTGTATTAAGAATAACAAAAGAATCTTGCATATCTGCATTAGCCTAATTATTGATTACTAATGTCTTCTTGAATAATTTTTTCTTTTAAAAAGTCGCTCCTTCCTTTATCTTAACATGTTACCTTAACTTCAGAATTTAATATTTTTCACTCAGTCTTACAGACAGATACAGATGCTTTAAAACCTTTTAAATTAACGACTGAATAAACTACCAGTGAAGATTCTAGAATGGGCCCAATTTTATTTCTTTTCCCATTTCACAAGTACAGAATTGCTCCTTGTGCTTTGCAACTAACTCAGAGTCCTTCTGCCAGCTTCAAATTTACCATTTAATTTCTGAATATTGTAAAGGGAAGCACACATACTCTCTCCTTACCTGCTGTTTTTTTGTGATCTCATTAGACATTACTTTAGCAGAATCCAAGACCTGGATGGCAGTTTCATCTTCCAGAATATCCCCTTCAGATGAATGTAGAGTTTCTAAAATTTTCTTCTCAATTTCTTTTAGACTCTTTTTATTGGCTGCAGACTGAACAATGAGAGCATTTCTTTCCTCTTCTAAATCTGGCCTAATGAAGGAAAACACAAACAACAAAATCAGTCTGCTCATCTTCCACTGCCCGCAAAAGAAGCCCATGAGAAGGACTCCCTGTTCCTACAATAAGTATTTTGAATATTCTCTTCAGTTTAAATAAGACTTTGCTGTTCAACATCTATTAATGATTGTGAGTAAAGATTTACTTCCATTCAGTCTTTGGAAACAATGGTCTAATCTATAATGTCTCAGCAAATGACAATCCATCCTGCTTTTCCTTTATCACGTATCATATCCAGAACCAGTTTACTGCTGGAAACACATTTTTTAGCAAACAGACTTTAGCCCAATTGCACAGACACATCTGCACAACACCACACTTCTACTCTGTATCTCTGGGAGGGTTCCAGTATGACCCACAATCACTTTCAGAGATATTTTGCATTTATTTCATCGAAAATTAAAATATTCATAATTCTGCATCCTTGTCCAACAGCTTTGGCACATTGCAAAACAATAATAATGATTTTAACTTCAAATAATATTTGCACAGTTTTCTAATATTCAAGGAATATTTCAGGAGAAAATTGCCATGAAACACCAATTATTTCACATCTGCTCTTTACCTACCCCAAACATGACAATCTGTTTCCCTAACAAACCTTTATTGTTTTTTTAAAAGCTGTTACTGAGCAACATTTACACCATGTAACATTCATTTTTCTATGCAATAAATTAATCTCTCATACTCTTGGAATTATGACATAAAAAAGTTTAATGGTTGTTTTTCCCAAAGAGAGACTTACCTCTCCTCTGCTACGACAATACCCAGCAATTGGTCTTCAAGTCCCTCTGGTGTTATCATAAAATTTAGTAATAAAACTTTTGTAGCAATTTCAGGCATATAATGAGGATTTCTTAGTTTTGTGGTAATAAAAAACTTGAAATCACTGGAATATTCAATAACGGACTCACCAAGCCTGATACACTCCATGCCTCCTAAAATTAACAGGAGAAATGTTAAAAAAACCTTTTCTACTCCAATTATTTACAGGAATAAAACCCAACGTCTTTTTTATTAAGTAAAAGCAAACTTCTTGTCAGTGACAAATTTCCTGAAAAGTAAAAATAAATAAATAAATTTGATAACCTGAAACATTCTCAGAGAATTCAGTGGGGCCACATTTTATTCCTAGCAGGTAAAATCAAGTCAATCCAATGTCTACTGTACTTTCAATTTACATATACAAAATAAAACTAGAGATGGTAGCAGAGAATTGTGTAATTATTCTCATATATTATATTCTTACAGACCACTATTTCCTTGAGTTACCTGCTTGAAAGAGAAAGCCACAAAAAAAATAAAAGCAGAAAAAAAATAAAGTGTTTGAGCTTTGCTTTCCTTTATTTTGGAGTTATGAACATGAAAACCAGTACAGATGAATCACGTAAGAAAGAAGGAAAACATATTTGTCTTTATCTGCATTTTCAGTCATTTTACAGGAGGAAAATAAAAGTTGAAAACCGAATTCACAGCTACTTAGCAAGAGTCAGAGAAAGGCAAATTGTGCCTCAGGCAGAAGGCCCTGACAGCTTTTCTTGATTTGTGCAGCATTTGGTAAATATTGGAATAAGCCTAAAACACATAAAAATGAACAAGAGAAACAATTTCACTGACAATGATCCATTTGCAGAATTTCCTTAGTCTCCTGTAGTGACAGGGTGAAGGTTTTCACATAAAACCACTGTTGTAAAAACTAATAGACACGGGAATGATAATTATTAAAAAATCAAACTCAAGAGTGCTGTGACATTCCCCTGAATTGTGAAAGTCAGAGAGCAACGTGGAAAAATCAGAGAGTGGCAGAGCCTGTGAGCTGCACAGGAATGAAATCTGCTTCAGGGTTCCAAACTGATGTTGCTGTACCTTGTTTGAAGGTCTGTTTAAGCAGCAGAGGCTCAAGGGATGGGTCCAGTTCCTCCCCAACATTTTCCAGCAGCAGTGGAGTCCCGAACTGGATGCAGTTCTCCACGGTTCTCATGTAATCCGTGTCGCTGATCTTGATAACGTTCAGACGATTTTCCTTCTCAAAATTCTTGACCCATTTATTTGCTTGCCCTTGGGGGTCAATCATTAATGGCCTAGAGCACAGGGGAAAGTTTGTCAGTGCTTGCAGGAGTCTTTCCAAATTTAAACTATTTCCCGTGTTTGGTTGTCAGGCTGTCGAGGAAGAAGTGATACAATTCTGATTATGTTGATTTAAGAGATCAGTGTAAAATGGATGTGCAGGTGTTTTAGCACAATTTGAAAAGTAATAGCAAAAATAGTTTCAAAAGTTGCAAAAAATGTTTATAACATTTTTCATAAAATACACTATAATGCAGAATTCTTGATACTCTGGAATTCTCAGTATTTAGAATCTATTAATTTTTACAAATGTTGAGTTTCTTCCCATATGTTTTTTCACTTTAAAAAAATAAAAATGAACAATTATTTGGAATTTAATCTGATTTCCTGTCTAATTACCAATAAATCTGTTAGTATTTCAGCCAGTATAAGACTGGAAGAGTAAGTGGAGTGGGGAAGGGTGACAATATTTTAATTTTGTTCAACAGATTTGTCCCCCGTTGCATGTGCTGCTTTCATCTATATGTCTGTACTTTAATTAGTCAGGCACAACAGATATCAAACACTTCCTCTAACTGCACCTTCAGAGAACTAAGCAATATTCTAAAACCAGAATTACACATTGTCAATCTGAAAGTTCCCCAATCTGTCACAAAGACTAATTCTTAAGTGAACAAAGATCACAAGAACATTCCTAGAAAGTTTTATATTCTTGTATTTCCACTGAGTGCAGATTATTTGCAGACAG